GGCGGGGGTGTCCACGGGTGTGGCCCTGCCACACCGTGCTGCCGAGCACTCCCCGAAGCCATACACGCGCCCGCCTTTGAACTCGCCCTCAAAGGTCATGTTGTCACAACGGGTGAAGACACCAACGCCGTTGAACTTGCCCTGCACAAACTCCCCCTCGTACCTGTGCGGGAGCAGCTCCTGAGGCAGCAGCCCCCCCCCGTATGCTGCGCGGACCCAGGGGAGTACACAGGAATGTCAGGCTCACCTGGAGCCGTCGGAGAAGGTGAGCACGCCGCAGCCGTGGAAGAGCCCGTTCTCAAAGTGCCCCACATAAGTGGTGCCATCGGCAAACGTCAGCTGCCCAACGCCGTGCCTGCGACCTAAGCGAGGACGGAAAAGGTGTCATGGTGAGCTTGGCCTCCAGTGCAGGCAGCACCGTCCCCTCCCGCCCCATCTCACCTTCCTTCCACTCGCCGCGGTACTCCTCCCCATTGGAGTAGGTGAAGGAGCCTTTGGTGAGGGTCATGGTGACAGCCTCCAGCAGTGCAGGGCAAGAGCTGGCAGGGAGAGGCACGGAAGGCAGCTGCTGGGCGTGGGGAGCAGCCGGGCTTGCTTGGCCTCCAGTGCAGGCAGCACCGTCCCCTCCCGCCCCATCTCACCTTCCTTCCACTCGCCGCGGTACTCCTCCCCATTGGAGTAGGTGAAGGAGCCTTTGGTGAGGGTCATGGTGACAGCCTCCAGCAGTGCAGGGCAAGAGCTGGCAGGGAGAGGCACGGAAGGCAGCTGCTGGGCGTGGGGAGCAGCCGGGCTTGCCCAGAGCCCTCGCATCCCCTCGGCTCGCAGAGAGGCACATGTCTGCCCCAGGAACAGCTCTGCTGGGGCACGCCGTAGATGAGGAGGTGACCCCAGGAGCACGGCCACCCTGCCCTGCCTCTGAAACCCCAGCCAACAGGTTTGGGTTGCTGCCCACCCCACTGCAGGGTTTAGGGTGATGTAAGCCCATGGGGGTCACAGCCCCGTAAAACGCAAGCGAGTGGCAGGAAGAGGAGCATGGCAGGAGCTGTCTGGCTCCGGCACAGCTCTCTGGCAGGACCCGAGGGGTCCTGCACCATGGCAGGCTCAGACCAAGGGCTGCCGTCAGCTCTGCTAGGGCAGTCCCAGGAGGAAACAGACATTTTGAAGAGATGTTTGCTGGGTTGTGCTTGGTGCCGGCTATTCAGGGGAGGGAGCAGAGAGCTTGTGGGGTTTCCAGCTCCAGCATCAAGGATGGGCAGACCTGGCTCACCCCCTGGGGATGAAGTGGCCGCTCCTCCTACAGGGACAGCAGAGAGAGGACCCTGGGGCTCCAGGGCCTTGCTCAGCTACCAAGGGTTTTCAAACCTGTCTGCTGACAGCAAGCAGTCCCCAGAGCCCGGCACACCCCCAGAGCCACTCCCAGGCAGCACAGCTCTCTCTCCCCAGCACACAGGGAAGGCGCCAGCATGGAGACATCCCCGCAGGTGGGCTGGGCGCCGCCTCTCCAGCGGCTCCC